GATTTAAAATAAAGAAAATAGGTAAATAAGGATATTAATTTTATATTTTTTTATTTAAAAATATTAATTTTGTTAAATTTTAAATAAAAATATTAATTTTTAATTATTTTTATTTAAAAATATTAACTTTTTTTTTTATTTAAAGATACCAACTTTAAATTTTTTTTATTTAAATATTAATTAGATAATTATACTAACGTGATAAATAAATTTTTTAATCAAAATATTAAAAGTTAACTTCTTTAAATAGAAAAAATTAAAAATTAATATTTTTAAATAAAAAAATTTATAAAATTGATATCTTTATTTGCACAATTTTTTCTTAAAATAAAGCTATCCTTTTAAGAATTTAGCCTTGTTTTCTTTCTAGGGGATGCCGAAGTATTGCCCTAAAAGAGTAGCTAATAATGACTGGACTAGAATATGAAAGTTACAATGGGCTAGAAAAACAGCTCAAACTCAAGAATTAAGTCGGTTCGGGCCATCTTCCTTACCAGGCCCAAAACATAACTCGACTGAGAAATGAGAATTATGTGATTAGTCTTACAATGATGGATTACAGATCTGCACCATAATCTCTGTCCTATCTTTGTCCTATCCTTGTCCTATCTTTTGTCCCCCTCAATTTGGAGTAGTCCTCCTTCATCTATGTTTGTTTCTTCTTTTTTCTTCTTCTTTCTTTCTTTCTTTCTTTCTTTTTTTTTTTTTTTTTTTTTTTTTTTGCTATTCAAACTATAAAAGTGCCATGTTTCATTAAAATCACATAAAGGTATTTTCTTGAAAAAAAGAAAAAGAAAAAGAGAGAGAGTTTAGCTTCACTTAAAAAAAAAGAAAAGAAAGAGAGAGAGAATAATTTTCTAATAACTCACTCCTCAGTCTCTTTCCCCTGTCATTGAATATTTTTATAAAAAATAAAAATAATATATTAAAATAAATGAAATTAAAATTATATATGAATTTTTATATAAATATATAGTGAAAATAGAAATATATTTTATAATATTAAATAAAAATTTATTATACTCATAATAAATATAGATAATTAAATAAAAAATTATATATATTTAGAAATTATATTAACAATATCTTAAATCACTAAACATTTTCAATTATTATATCAATCTTTTAAAAAGAACAAGTTCTTAAGCTAACAAGTCACAATAGTCTCCATTTACTAATAGTCCTACTATGTCTATTGAAATACAATCCCCAAGGGAGGTTACTATCCCAAAATTTGAGCACTTTTTGTGAAATTTATAAGCGTTTTAGTTTTTTTGACATTATTTATATTTTTTGACATTATTTATATTTTATAAGTTTAAATTTTTTAAAAAAACTTATATTTTTTTAACTTCTTTTAAACTTAAAAAAAATTTTAAATAGTAAATTTTGAAAATTTTCAAATTTATTTTTTTTATAAATTTCTTTTTACTCATTTTTTATTTACTTTTTTTATTTTTTAAAAAATTTTAAATTTTCTCTTCAATAAAAATTTAAATTTATTACATATAAACAGTACAAACAAATAAAAACTCTTACAAATTTCACTAAACATACTGTTTGACCCCCTGAGCAATCTCCTCTTTTGTTGTCTACTGAAACCATCTTACTATTTTTCGGTACATTTAAGTGTTCTCTTTTCTTTCTTTCTTTTCTTTTCTTTTCTTTCTTAGGGGATGATGCTTTGATCAAGCCCTAAAATGATAAGAAGCTCTTGGCTTACACACACCCGTTGAATCTTCTACCAACCGTGAGCTGACTTCACATGGTGGATCGATCCTCAAAATTATGCAAACATTTGAAGGTTTGCTATACTATAATGAATAGTTTTTCCTTTTTAATTCACCATACCTTATTAAGAGTTAAAATCAAAATGGATTAACTTAAAAATCTTAATTTTTAACTTTTTTTTTTATCACGTGCTCAAATCAAAGATCTTTTGGCAAAAATTCAACTTAGGTTTCGTGAATTTATTTAAAATTTTATATTTTAATTAATATTTTTAAAAATTAATTGTTAAATTAAAAATTTTATTTATTTAAATCATATATATCAATTTTTATATTTATCTATTACTTGATCTTTTTATCCAAAAAACTTTATTTATTGATATATATTTAACAATATTAAATTTTTGAGTAATCAACAAAGTAGTTAAATTTATTGTCAAAAAAAAAAAAGAAGAAAAAAGTGATTAAATTTATTAAAATAATTTAAATTTTGACTTATATTATTTATATAAATAAAATTTTTAATTTAATAGTTAATTTCTTAAAATATTAATTAAAAATAAAATTTTTAATAAAATTTTTAATTTTTTTTTAAAAAAAACTTCAAAACACTTTTCCCTCTTTATATAGTCAATACAATCTTAAAAAAAAAAACCTACTATTGCAATTCTAGAAGCTCTAATAAGGGTGTGCGTGTATAGGCAACTAGGCAAGCGCAGGTGGCATTGTGGGAAGGATTTTTCTAGAGGAAGCCAAGAAAAAACAAAGTTGAACAGGTAATTAGCCCGAGGATTATGATCTTTATAAAATGCACGTGGCTCAAATAAGCTTAATTTAATTGACAGTGTAACTGCATTTATTTATGGAGTCTAATCCCGTGTTTAAGGATAACTCTTGTATTATTAGGTACTATGCAGTGATTACATCATGCTACTCGTCTTCTACTATAGGTTCCGATTTATTTAAATATTAGTTTTAGTATTATTAATCGTGATGCAAGTTGCCAGACGTTGAGTTGCCGAACAAATATTATGAAAAATAATTATTACCGCCTTTAATTTGGTACATTTTATTCAAGG